GGGAGCACTCGCCGGAGTGAGACATTAATGGAGTGTTAGTTTTGGGGTGTTATTTTGAGAATTAGACTAAATTTAGGGACTTAATTGTAGTTTTAAGAATTTTAATTATATTTCAATTAAGTCCACATGCCAAATCTGTAATTATTGAAAGTTAATAAAAAAAATTTTTATGTTTTTTGTTATACACAATATATTAAATAATAAATAAATTATAAAAATAATATAAAATAATTTATAATAATAAAAAATCCTATGATAATAGTAATAATAACTAATAAAATATTTGAATTATTTAAACTAATTATTTGTACAATTATATCTATTAAAAAATAGTTTTCAAATGCATATAATTTATATGTGATGATTTCACTTTATAAAAAAAAAAAAAAAAAAATACTTGTGCACTTTATAACACAACGCGTTGCACTTTATAAAATAACACGGTGCATTTTATAAAACGACAAGCTAACTTTATCAATATGTTCCACAAATAACATCAATAGTTATCGCCAAAATACAACACAACATAAATCTTAAAAACACATCATTTAGTATTTACTATTTCTTACAATTTTATTGGAATAAATATACATAAAAATATAATAATACAAAATAATAGCATTTTTTATGTAGTTCGCGTTCGATTATTTTGATCATATAAATAAAATAAATATAAAAAATAGTATTTTAATATAGTTCTTTTTTTCGGTTATTTGAATAAAAATTATTTCATACTGAATAACCAGATATGTAAAATAATAATAATAATAATAATAATAATAATAATAATAATAATAATAATAAATAGTAATAATAATCGAACCGCAATATGAAATTTTCGTACCGAATTTATGTTCGTTGCATCTCGTTTGATTTTGTTCAATCTGGTAGATATTTAAGTGCAATCCATATATACCTACTTCCGACCTTTAACCAAATAACATTATTCGATCGATGAGCATAATTACTGTAATTTTGGTATGTGCACAATGTCGTTTTATAAGGTGCAACCTATAAGGTGCAATATACTACTGTATAAAGTGCAATGTGTTGATATATAAAGTGCAATATTGAAACTTTAATACGTCTTGTGCTTTTTTTGTCTTCTTTTTTTTTTTTT